AAACATGTCAAAATTGAGATTATTACAAGTTACCAAATAAATTCTACTATTTCTACGGCAAATTCAGTCATTTACAATCGAAATTTGTAATTTTTGCTTTGTCATAAAAATTTAGTTTTCTACGTGTATGATGCGTTGTATATGCATGTAGATATTATATTGTAAATTGCAGTTTAATTGTAAGTAAAATATAAATTAACATTCCTAATTACATCTACATGGAAAAAACATAATTTAAAGATGAAAATTAATCAAGCTACTTAAATTAAACCTCAATTATAGCCCAATTATAACATTTGTTTGAAATTGTCCCGGCGCCTTCACCAAAATTTTAATATATATTTAATGTACGATATATTTTCATAAATACTTTATTTTCGGTATTAAAACAATGGTTTACAATTAAAATTAAATACTCTTAACAGCTGCAAACAATATCTAATGTGTACGGATTTCCAATCATTTTATATCTTTAAAAATATTACTAATTGTAAATAATAATTAGTTGTTTCTACGCAGAGTTGAAATGTTATTTCTGGTTATTTTTGTCTTTTCATATTATTATATGAAGATACAGAAACGTTATTATTAATGATAAGTATTACAGCATTTATTTAAAATTTTGGTGAAGCTGCCTGAAAAGTTTCAAATAAAGGCTATAATTGACGTATAATTTCGATTTTACTGTAGTAGCTTTATGAATTTTCAACCTTAAATTATATATTTTTCATGTAGACGCAGTTATGTTATGTTGATTTATATTTTTCTTTTTACAATTGAACTACAATTTGCAATATAGTAGGTATACACACAACCCAACATACAGCAAATATTACAAATATGCAACCGCAAAGATAGTCGGAAAACTTTTTCGTAGAAATAATTAATTACTAATAAAACTTTTAAAGAAGTTTTTTTGCAAAATTTGGTTGAAAACCCTTAAATATTTTAATATAAATTATGATTCCATATGCGATATTTAATTTTACGAATGAATGTCGCACTTTAGGCTAGCGGTCAGGATAGGCTGATGAAAAAAATAATAAGAAGCTTATGGAATCCAAACTGACTTAATTTGTTAAAGTTGTAATTGACTGGTTATGTTAGGTATTCGTGACTTCTTATTAGGTTTATCTACCCTTGCAATGCAAAATAAACTAAATAATAAATCTTCTATAAACAAGTGACTATTTAGTTACAATTGTTAAATTCAAAGTAGATATTCTGGAACCTCCCTCGCTATTAATAGTGAGGGATTAACTGTGAAAAGTTGTTTTCGTAATATCAGTATCAGTAAAAGATATCAATATTTTTTTGTGTATTAAATTTTATATAAAAAGATCCGAGGGTGGAAACAAATAATCCCCAGAATAAGTCGCTGAAACCTCCGTTCACTCGTAACCGATACTTCTTCATATGCCGATCTGAATATAAAATTAAACGTTTTTTAAACAAGATTGGAGATCAGCAGAGAGATTATCACGTGAAAAATAATATTTGTTAAATACTTTAAAGCTTTGCGCTAATGTTCCATAATTTTATCGAAAATGAAAAGATATTTTGGCTTCAGGTTTAGACTGGTTTTGTCGTCAACCTCCCACTATTTTTAATAGTATTTTGTAAACGACGTACAAATCAATTATTTTTGGATGAAATCTTGCAGAAAATAAGTTAGACGAAAACTGATAACATCAGATATCATCATGTTCGACTTCTATGACAGAATATCACATGATCATCAGAAATTGTCCTTCCATCTTTGAAAATCCTGAACAACATTTCTTTTGGGAGATTATTTTTGCTGTCAAAACATTGTTAATTTAGTGACGTCAAATTTTATTTAATTCTGACCTATTTAACGATTTTTTGTAGGGTTTGTAATACCTGATACCGAGTAGATTTTTTCATTTAAACATTTTACATTGGTTACAAATAATATACTTATTATCGGTAGTGCACTTTAATCGATTACATACTTTATGAGATTTGTAAATGATAAAATGTACACAATTCTACATATTCGAGCATTAACTAATTTTCTTTAGTTCAAGAAACGTTTCCATGTTTGAATTCAGATGTTACCTAATGATATCAGCCTTTACCATTTTTATCCTCATGGATACGTATCCCAAAGGTATAACTGAAGCGTCTACAGGATTATTGACAATTAAAGGCATGACCATGAAAACGACTTGATGATCGCGGTGTTCGAGTTGGCCCTAATCTTTTTTTTATTTACGAGGGTGGATTGATAAGTTTCCGGCCTAACCAAGAGATGACGCCACTAGGCCTACCTTGAGGTGACATTCTATAGTACCATCCTTGGATAGCTTGTAGCTATAGTTTCAGCCCGATCTCCTTGCTAGTGTAGGTTTGACAGCACGCTGAACAAGACGCCTCTGTGGTTTTCGTAAAAATGGAAAAGCAGGAAAATCGTGCTGTCATCAAATAGTTTTATTTGAAGGGGTTAACGCCGAAGGAAATTAAAAAAGAGATGGACTCAACACTGGGGACATCCTCCCCGTCATATTCAACCGTTAAGCAGTGGGTTTCCGAGTTTAAAAAGGGTCGTGTGAGCACCTCTGATGGGCCTCGCTCAGGACGCCCCGTTGAGGTCACAACTCCAGATATGATCGAAAAAATTCATCAAATAGTGCTGGGACACCGCAGATTGAAAGTGCGTGAGATAGCTGAGACCTGTAAGATGTCATATGAACGTGTGCAACATATTTTGCACCAACATTTGCATATGGAAAAGCTCTGTGCAAGATGGGTGCCGCGTTTGCTAACAGTCGACCAAAAATTGATTCGAAAAAACATTTCTACCGCAAATTTGTCATTGTATAAGCGTAATCCAAGCGAATTTTTGCGTCGATTCGTAACCGTTGACGAAACGTGGGTCCACCACTACACTCCTGAAACCAAAGAACAGTCTAAACAGTGGATTGGACCAAGGGAACCAACTCCAAAGAAGGCAAAAACAATTTTTTCGGCGAACA